AGGTTAGCCGGGCAAACAGCCATGCGGCTTCTCGGAGACGGCGCACGCGCTTGAACAAAAAAGCGCAGCAGTCTTTGGAACCAGTGATAATGAACATGACATGTCCTCTCTGCTGTTGGGGATATTTGCTGGGATTATATCGCTTCGGATGGCATTGGCGGCAGGTCACTCTATCAAATCGGAGTTTCCAAGAAAGTGCTCTCTGACTTCTCTCAATCAAAAAAGGGGCGAGTTGGGGCGAGCCAAGGTGCAACTCATAAATTGACCAGGTCGCCTGATTGCTTACGGTGCTCTCGGGTGGCATCACTCGCAAGTTCTCCTTGCAGCTCCAAGCTCAAATGCTGCAACATCAGAAAGTTCTGTCTTGCTGACAAGTTTCAGGCTTAAAGCTTAGGGTCTGCATTTCGCGGGTCATCCTTATTGAGCTGGAGGCACATGATGCAATCAGCTGTATACTGCATGCTTGTGCGGTGAGGGCGCTCATCATCATCGACTATAACGTCCACAGAGTAGCGGCCCTTCTCATTCGGCCCACCTTGCGCAAGATGTTGGCCCAAGATGCCCAAGAAATGGATTGCGAGGCTGCAAGTCCCAGCACCTGTAATGAAGCCCTCCAGGCCGTTGAAATGCGCCTTGCAAGGAAGACTGTCACACCATTTATACTTTGGAAATCTTGATAAAGATTCCCCCAGCCTGCGAAAGCCCAATTAGTCGAACACGGGCTCCAAGCGCCAAATCCCCACCGCCGGCCTGAATGTGACAGGTACTGACTGCAGCACGTCGTTAAATTGCATCAGCTTTCTGTCTCCAGGAGCCTGGGACACTGGTGCTATTCGTCGCACCTGTCGTTTGGGGCACAGCTTCTCACAGCCTTGGGCCGAGAGGAAATAGAATCACTTTCAGCAAAATCTTGACTCTGCCAGTCTCAGCTTTGGGCATCTTGACAAACAGGAAGGCTTGCTAGGCGGAGCATCTGGAGTTTGACCAGGGATGATTTTCCTGGGTTGGGCGACACCAAGTTCGATTCACAAAAAGCACAACAAAGGAGAGCTGGCCAAAGGCCCACACTGTGACCTCCCACCCCAGAACCCCACTCCAACATACTCCAACCGACACCGAAACGGGTGGGGGATCAAAAATAGACTGACTTTGGATGGAAAAAATCTTGCGGCGCTTTGACAACTTAGATTTACTACAGCCCCGTACCTTCTTAACATTGGCATTGAGAGGAAATCTTGTACCGCCTCATACAGAACCGATCTCAATGTTAAAAAAGGGGTGTGCGGGGACGCATCGCGACGCCATAGAAGATGCCCATTGTATAGGTGGCGCAAGATTCCTCCATCCACCGACTGATGTACTTGGCGACAACATAGGAGTGCGCGGTGTGTAGGGTTCCCGAAGGGGTCGGCGAGCGTTCGGGGTCTGTCGCTTGACGCCAGCGACCCACTCTACCTTCTGTCCAAACGCCGGAACCCCAGGCTTTCCTGCAACTTTCACGGGAAACAGTTGAGGCTTGTGCGATCTTGACGTTTCTGGGTCAAAATGTCTTGGGCTTCCAGAGTCAACACTCAGTCAACACTACAGCCAACACTATAGTCAACACTGCAAAAACGTTGGAAACACACAGATTTCGACATTTTCGTTGAAAAAATGTAACTCTTCATTTCATATATATATATAATGTGTAAATTCAACAAAATGATGTTATTTGCAATGTTTTCGTAGTGTTGACTCTAGTACTGATTGCAGGGTTGACTGTACTGTCGACTGTAGTGTTGACGAGAGTTGGCTGCCGGGGGCGCATACATCCTGCCAAGAAGC